CTGTTGACCACATCTTATTATTCTTCCCCTTAGGGTTGCTAGATTTAGGAAATAAGAACACAGTACACTCAGTTAAATTTGAATCAGATACATGATAGCTTTTTAGCACGTGTTTCAAATATCACATGACACATTCTAAAAAAAGTATTTATCTCAAATTCAAATTCAACTCTACATCCTGTATTTTATCTGTCAACCCTACCTCCTCTCCTTAATGATCATTATGTGGATATAAGGTGCCTCGAAGCCCAATCCTGTTGTCATAACAGCTAGAGGTAATAGCTTTCCTTTATTGAGGGCCTATGGTGTGTCAATAACAGTGTTAGGAAATCTGTATAAAATAATCATTTAACCCTTGCAGTAACCCTGTGAAATAGGAATAATTCTCTTCAGAGACGACATGTAACAACTAAAACTCCTCTCCACCTCCATCCAGAGATTAAGTAGTGTGCTCAAGATTACATGGCTATATACTTAAAAGCCAGGATTCAAACCTGGGTCTCACTCCAGCATCCTTACTGCACTGCCCACAGTTAAGTATAAAACATGGAATTTACGATTTCGCTAAAAATCGGATTTAAACATTCTTTTACAAAGTAGTTTAGGAGACACCTTTTTTTAAAACTATCTTTAGCTTAATGTAGTGAAAAAAATCAGAGGAAAATTATGATATTTATGAAATTAGCTCTTTTCAAATAATAATGCAAAAATCTAAATCTCTGCCTGCCTTCCCTACTCCCCACAGCACATATATTTCACCCAATTTCAATATAGGTATAGAAAAACACTTCAAAAAATACTTTGTAGGCTGGACACGGTGGCTCACACCTATAATCCCAGCAATTTGGGAGGCTGAGGCAGGTGGATCACCTGAAGTCAGAACCTGAGACTAGCCTGGCCAACAGGGGGAAACCCCATCTCTACTAATAATACAAAAAATTAGCTGGTCATGGTGGCTCGTGGCTGTAGTCCCAGCTACTAGGGAGGCTGAGGCAGGACAATCACTTGAACCCAGGAAGCAAAGGTTGCAGTGAGCCCACAATTGCACCACTGCACTCCAGCCTTGGCAGCAGAGTGAAACTGTCTCGAAAAAAAAAAAAAAAAAAAAAAAAAAAAAAAAAACACAAAAAAAAAAACTTATACAGTGGGCACAACCTTGCCATTATCACCCCAGTTTAGATTTTAGTTGTGTGAGCAACTATCTATTCATCCTTCTGAAACAGATCATTTGGTGGTATTTTTGTTTTGGTCCCAGGAGATGTTTAAGACCTTATGTTAGTCTAGATTTGAGGACTTTCTAAGCCTAATTCTTTCAGAGTATAAGTGTCTTCTTGTTTTAAAGTAAATTTTGTGTTTGTAGAACTTCTTGAACTTTTTTGTGCCTCAAAGATGTTCAAAGTTAAAATAATCATTCACCAAGTAATGGTATCATTGCCTATTTTGCTATCTAAATTAAATATAAGCTTTACAAAGCCTCTCTTATTTTGCTTAAGCTATTATATTTCTTAGATGTGCCTGAACAGTAATTATTAAATTATGGGAACCAAATGTATCTTCTGGCTATTTAAACATAAATGTAAATATGCTAAATACACAAAATATAAAGACATATATACTAAATTTGAATTCTGTATTTCTTGTCATCAAATCTTCATTACAGAAGATCTCCAGAAGAGTGTATGATGGTGATAAAAAAATTAGTGAGGCAAATCTTTCAAGAGACCAAAACAGTTTGAAAATACTGCTTTAAGTAACCCTAGATAAATGACCACGGATTTGGAACCCTCTCTTTTAATCCAAAGAGATTAGCTACAAAAGAAATTAAAAGACAGCTTTCAGAAATTGTAAACGTTACCATTTCATTTGGAAATGGTAAAAGTTACTATTAGTGAAACATAAGGCAATACATTTACATTTTTATACCTCTTGAAAATGATCATAAGTATTAACTACACTTATGCAGTCTTGTTTGATGAGCAGAAAGATCACAATGGCAGATATCACTGTGTACTTTAAATATTAAAGTAGCCATCTCAAGAGAGTAAATAAGCTGATCAAGTTTGTCCTGTAGGTTTTAGATTACCCTAAGAAAAAAGGCTCACCTCCCGCATTTCAGAGAACACATACACATAGTATGCTAATGTAATTTGAAATAGACACACAAACTGCTGCCACTGGGGAAGGAATTAGATTGTAGGTGGGCATGAACTTCCACTTTTTACTCTGTAAAACTTTCTAACAAGTTCGAATATTTTGCCACAAGCATATTCAGGTATTAAGTTTGTAAAAATTTAAAGCACATATTTTTAATTATGTACAGAGTTTGAGAAGTGAGTACAAGGAGAAAACAAATCTGGGGGAAAACTGAGAGAAATTAAGAGGATGCTCAAATCAGTGGTCTCAGCTTTGAGAGAATGTGGGGCGGGGGTCAGGCAACTACAGGCCTCTGCTCTCCTTTAACTCTCATAATTAGACCAGTTTCCCATTATTCATTACATTACAAACCTGAACTACAAAGTGGAACCTAACTCCACAGAGGAAAATAAAGCAAAACAGTCTCAAAGGTCTGCTACTCCATGGTTAATAGTCAGTGTTCAAATCCTGTATAATCACAAAACAGGGATCTTAAATGGGCTAGGGCTGGGACTGTGGTGGCTGGGGGAGTGTTGGGTGTTGAACCTGAGGAGAGTGAGTATGAAATAAGCTTAAATTGAAATAGGAGGCTCCTCCTGACCAACTCTCCTCCAACCCCCACAAAGAGAGAGGAACTGTCCTAAGTTCTTGGGAGGGACTGCTTTCCAACCTCAGAGATTTCAAAGGGACACGGGACCTCTCTACCTTTAGAAGTCAGCCGGGAATGGTCATGGGTTTGCTGCAGGCCCACTGCTGAAGCCTAGTGAAGAGAAAGGCAGAGAGAGCAGAGAAATCCAGTAAATGAAGCCAGAAAGTTAGTTTTTGTGTTTTCATTATAGTGAGCATACTGTGATGAACCCATTGCTATTCTGAGAGGGTTGGTTTTGTTTTTGTTTACCTGACTTAATTATAAGGAGCTTTAAGGATTCACTAATGGTTCCGTCCTACTTCTCCATTTCCTGTTCATGGGACATCCATCTGTCTGCTTCATGGTCACCTGGAGTGTTCTTAACATGCAAATCCCTGGGTCCTACCCTGAAATTATTCTTAAAATTTCAGGATTTGTCTGCTATGGAGGGAAAACGTAGCCAACTAATACAATTCTGGCTTACAGTGAAGAATGAGCACCAGAGAACAAAATTCAGCTATCAATCACCTTATTTTCCATCCTATCAAGAGTAATCCATTTATTTTGTTCAACCAAAGGCCTTCTTTTTCCTCCTTGCCCCGCAACCTCTCATCGTTCCCAAATCGATGCCCCTTCTAGGCACTGCCCTAGACCTGAGCAGCCGGGGTACTGCTGCACCTCCTGCTCTTTAGAGGCCCTGGTTCCGGCCCTCCTCTGGCAGCCTGCCTCTTTGCTCAGGGCCAGCCCTTTCTCGGCCCTTTCTCGGGGTCCAGGCTTCAAAGGGAGGAGTGGGCCACAAAATGCACCCTAGCTGGTGACCCTTCGGGTGGTCAAGGGGCTGCTGTTCGGGTGACAAAGAGCTTGAATATACTGGTCAGCATGTGCTGAAGGCCCCTCGAGGTGCAGGATGGAGCCTGGGCTTGGAAGAAAAGTAGTACGCGGGTTTTCCATTTGTACTAAAGGCCCAGGGTTGTAAATGGTAGGGGAGGCTAACGACATAGCTTCACTTTCGAAATGTTAATGAATATTCTGTTTCTGATGAATGCATTCAGTGCCTGTAGAACAAGAGAATTCAGGGAGGCATAGGACTCATTTGGGACTTTTTAGGCTGAGTGTGCATTAAACCAGCTCCCCAGCCCCGGGGCCGCAGAGACTGTCGGGCGTGAAGCTAAAACTACTCCGTATGCCATATCGGCTGTGTTGGAGTTAGTGAGGTGTGGGACTGCAGTTTCAGGTGCTCACATCAGGGCTACAGAATCACCCCTTCCCTTTCTGATAACTGCGCGCAGGGAGTCGAGTTCTCCTCTGTGCCATCACCTCTTCTCGAAGCTCCAAGCGCAGAGGGCAAACGCTGACACCCTTTTCCGCCTTCTCTCCGCCTTCGAGTCCCGGAGGACAGTGCCCTGTGCAGCCTCCGTATTTCCCGACACGTCCCGCCTGCAAATCACTTAGGAGCTTCTCCCGGCAGTTTCTCGGATGCAGCGCGGAGCCCAGCTTCCCGCACCGGCTCAGGCTCGCAGCCACCCTGCCCGCTGAGGGCGTGGTCGTGGGCGCCACGGACGGCGCCAGCCTGCGTTCCTAAAGGCTCCGGGACAGGTGCGGGACTGAAATTCCGCTCCTCCAGCATCTTCCCCTCCCCGCGAGAAGAAGGCTGCTTTAAAAATTCCCGGCCTGAACCAGCAGCAGCTAAGGACGTGGAAGGGGGCCTGAAAAGGCCAGGGCAGGGCGAAGGAAAGTGCTGCCCCTATTTACCCGCCACACGCTCTGAGTGAGCGCTGACCCCATCCCACACTCCGAGTCTATTCACTCGCTGGGCGGACCCTTCCTCCACGCTCCGCGCCCAGGCAGGCGAGGTCGCCCACTCCAAGTCACCACGCTTGGGTATCCCCGGTTGCGCGAGGAAGCGGCCCCTTGGCCAACGCCCCGCCCTCCTCTACATCTCCGGACGCTGGGCTCTCGCCCTTTGGCGTTCGGGAGCCCCTATTGCTGCCCAGCTGGCCACAAAAGCGCTCGAAAGTCCCCTCTTGGCTTATTTCAGAGATGCCGCGCAATAAAGAAAACGCGGCTACTTTGCATTCCGCAGCGCAAATGCCCGGGCTGCGAGCGCGGACCCTGGATTGCAGCCTCCCGCCCTTCCCAGGCGCTGGAATGGACGCGGAAACCCACAGCGGCTAGCCAGGTGGTGGCGGAGTGGGGGGGGCGGTGGGCAGACCAAGGCGACGTACGCCCCTTCACTTACCTTGCCTTTAGCTAGCAGTTCCATGATGTAGCCAAATTCACTCATCTCCCCCGACTCCGACATGTTTATGCCCCTTCACAAACTCTGGAGGACCGACACGGATGCATCGAATTTGTCCCTTCTTTTCTCTGTTTGTGTTTTCAGTCTGAGTTTTGCCGAGCTCCCCGCCAGTAAGCTGTTAAACAGGAAAAGTGAGGACGCGCGGCGGAAAGCGAGAAGCGGGCTTGGGTGGAACGAAGGCCATCGAGGGTTCCCGGGCAGCCTCGCTCGGCTTGCTAGGGTCTGGGTACAGCAGTCGGGGTTGCGTGATCTAACGGAACAAACGAGGGCGGCGGCGGCGGCCGTGAAACCCTCACCAGGCGGAGCCGGGCGCGCGGAGGCCCCGCCTCCTCGGGGGTCGCGGCCGCGGACGGACCGCAGTGGAGACAAACAAACGCGCACACAAAGCTGGTCGGTGCTCTGAGCTGCGCGGCCCCAGCCCAGCACTCCCCAGCCTTTATCGGATGCGGGGAGGTTAGCCGTCCCGGGCTCTCGGCGGGAAGATCTGGGAAAAAGCCCCATCGCACTGTATGGAGGTGCGAGGGCAGACAGAAATGAATGCAGACGAGGCGCAACAAAGGGGCTGGCTGCCAGCGCCGGAAAATAAATAAATAAATACATAAGCCAAGGCCAGGAAATGGCAACGGCGCATCTCAAGTCAGCCTTCCTGAAATCCAATAGGTAACAAAGACCAAGCCCCGCGCTTCTGAGATGAGAACAAATACAGGGATTGTATTTTAAACACTCTAAGTGTGTAAGGTCGATTGTATCTCCATATCCTTTTGATACTCAGCTTTCCCTTAACAAAAAAAAAAAAAAAAAAAAAGGAAAAGAAAAAGAAGAAAGAGAAGAAGAAAGAAATTGCCTGCCAGGTTCCTCAACACTCTCACCCTTAGTTACCAGAATTCCATTTTTCTAATGATTTGTTTTGTTGGTTGGGTTAAAGCGTTTAGTGTATGCTTCTCACATGTCTATACTTCTTTTTATAACAACAGTTTCCCTAGGAAGCTGCAGCTGAAATGGCCTCAGACCATACCTGACAATCTTTGCTTCTCTTGAAAGAAAAACTTGGCTGAACAAAGTCCCAGACGATCACTCTGCTCTAGGCAGTCCTTGCGATTAAGGGTTTTTTTTTTTTTTTTTTTTTTTTTTTAGCCTCCAACAATAATTAGTTTAGACATGAATAAGATTTACTGCAAGGGTGAAACCACTTTCCTTAAGCAAGTTGGCAGAGTTTGCATTGGGCTCAGCACCAGTGGGCAGGGTGGGGTGTGGAAATGACCTATTTTATAGGCACGTAAGAGTTATGAAGGCCTAATGAGGCATGGGGGTTTTCTTGTTTGCCTCTTCCTTTTGTCATTTTCTAATTTCTCCTCTCTGGGCCATAAACCCGAAAGCATGCACATTTCTTTCTTTTTTCAACACACTTCTCCATAAAGCTCCAATAGTGTTGCTCTGTGACTGTTGTTCTGCCAGAACTTTGCTTCTTCAGTGTGTTACTTTCCTTTATGAACTGGTGCTGAAAACATCTTAGAACAAGAAGCAAAAGTTAGCATGCTCATGTTCACAGTTAGGGCTTTGTAGGAGGTAAGACACAATGATAATGCTTTTTGGATGTAGAGCTAGAAGCTTCTTGTCCCTCCGAAGTTCTGTAGAACTTATTCTTTTTGCATTCATAGGAAAGCTAGTAGAATTCAACTAAGGTCTGTAGTATTCATAAATGGGTTCTTGCCTACTATTAGCAGCACTGGATGAATTACCAAAAAGAGATATTGCTCTAAAAGTGAATATTTTTCACACCCAGAATGCATTCTGGTACCTGATTAAAAACCACAGTGTTAGAGCTGAACATCTAATCTTATGTCTGCATTACAAGCAGGAGGGAAAAAGGTAGAGACAAAAGGGCACACAGGGCATTTGTTTCCCTTTAAAAAGTTTCCCCCAACCCCATCCAGTGACCTCCACTTACACCTTTGTGAGAAATGGGTAATATGCACTCCCAGCTCCAAGGAAGGCTGGGGAGGTGATTATTTTGTTCTGGGAACACTGCCACTCTAAACAAAATCAAGGATTTGTTAGTAAGGAAGAAGAGGAGATAGATATCGGGTAGAAAGTTGTTAGTTTCTACTAACCTTGAGTAACTCCATTCAACTTTCAGAGTTTCAGTTTTCTCTTCTGTAAAATGACTGGTTTTGACTAAATGGTCTCTAACCCCTTCCTGTTTTAAACCCTAAGATCTCTGATCTGAGGATCTCTTTGCCATCTGGCAGCATTAGCTGTCATTCTCCTTCCCGAAAAAAATTGCTGTTAACAAAAGGGCTGTCCACCTGATCACTTGCTACTAGAAAACACTCCAGGCAAAATATCCTTATCAGTTCACCCAAGACCAAGAGAGTAGTGAGGGCAAGAGTTTTAGAATCAGCTCCTGCAGTGTCAGAAGATCACCGGTGAACATGCCCATGTCAGTATTCAGAAGTTAGACCATAAGTTGGGTCATGAGCATTAACTCCAATGCTTGCTGGTATTTACCACTATTTATCATCGTGTGAGGAGCACTCTGGAGCATTAAAGACCTTTCAAAGAAGGTAGGCATACAAAATGAAGACCACATTAAAATGTCTTCTGAAATTCTATGCCTGCTCTTCAAAGACAGAGGGCCAGACTGTCAATAGGTACCAAATAAAAGTTGCTTTATTTCCCTTTCTTCTTAAAAAAAAATTGAAATCATATAAATTTAAAACTTCACTCTCTAAAGGAACCAAAATTAAGAAAAATATTAATTCATATTTCTCTAAAGAATGAAATTAACATGACAGATGCTGCTTCACATGGGACTTCCCTACCTAAGAGGAAGCTATTTGATAGAGAGATTATGTGATATGTGAATTTTTCACACTGAGAAGACCAGCAATATTAAAGGGTCCCTCACTGTGGAAAATCTGCTAATTGCTAACTTTCATCAAATGGAGAAAATTCTTCAACTGTTCTACTGCCATGCCAACTATTGAAATAAGTGTAACTTATAGAGATTCACAATATCCTATTTTCTCCTTCTGATGGGAACCAACATAATAGATTTAACAAATAACATCAACAAAATACACAATCCAACTTTTCTTTTTAATGATGGACACATAAATTGTATTTTTGAAGGTTCTGAATTTAAAATCTATGACGAATTTTCAGCTTTTTAAGAGTTAGAGACTGAAATAAGGAACTTAAAAGATCTTACTTTTAGTAAACGCTCACATTTTCTTAAGGTTTTTATTTCAAAAATATAAACCTAAAATTTGACTGATACCTGTACTCAAAAAGGTCATCTTTTAAAAATCTTTTTTATTGAGGTACAGTTTATTTACCATAAAATTCACTAATTGTCAGTGTACTGCTTAGTGACTTGTATTAAATTATGGATTTGTACAATGGTCTCATAATCTGGTTTTACAACACTGGAATATCCATATATTGAGATTTTATTTCATTTTTCCCAGCAGTACTCTATCACTTTTAGTGTTTAGATACTGCACTTACTGTATTACATATTGCAAAGTACTCTTTTTAATATTATTGTAAATAAAAGTGATTTCTTAATGTCATTTTTTAGATTGTTAATTGTTGTTATATAGAAATACAGGTGATTTTTGCATAAGGTCGGTGTTTTGCAATGGGGCGAAATTCATTTATGAATTTGAGATTTTATTTTCAGTTTCCTTGTAATAACATCTGTAATTAAAGACAATTTTATTTCTTCCTTTCAAATCTGTATGCCTTTATTTTTCTTGCCTTATTGCTCTGGTTAGAACCTCCAATAGAACCTCCACTGAATGCATGCAGCATGTGCGGCCATTCTTGCCTCATTCCCAATCTTGGGGGAAAAAGCATTTATTCTTTCATCATTAAGGACTGATTGGTTTGGCTACATTCCATGACTTTTGATATATTTTTTAATTATGTTAAAAATATTTTTAAAGTTTCCTATTGTGATTTTTTTCTTTGACTCATGGATTATTTACAAATGTGTTTAATTTCCAATTTTAAATTCCCAAATATTTTAGATTTCCCGTTTTTTGTGTGTTGATTTCTAATCCAATTTGGTTTTGAGCAAAGATCATCTTTTGAATAATTTTAATGTCTTTAAATATACTCAGGTTTTTTTCATGGTCTAACATGGGAGTCAGCAACATTTTCTTAAGGGGTAAGTTATTAAGTGAACATTTTAGACTTGAAGCTATATAATTTCTGTCACTACTTGTCTTAGTCTATGTTGCTACAAAAGATTACCTGGGAATGGAAAATTTATAAGGAAAAAAAGGATTTCTTTGGCTCATGCTTCTGCACACTTAACACAAAGCATAGTGCCAGCATACACTTCTAGTAAGGCTTCAAGAAGCTTCCACTTACGGCAGAAGGTAAAGGGGAGCTGACATGTCACATGGGAAGAGGACGTAAGAGAGAAAGGTGGAGGGTGTCATGTTCATTTTAACAATCAGTTCTTATGGGAATTCACAGAATAAGAACTTCATTCATTACTGTGAGGACAACACCAAGATATTCATGAAGGATCCACCTCCATTACCAAAATAGCTTCCACTAGGTCCCACCTCCAACGCTGAGGATCAAATTTCAACCGGAAATTTAGAGGGGACATATATCCAAACTATATCACTACTCAACTCTGCTATTACAGGATGAAAGGGACTATTGACAATAGGTAAATAAATCAATGTGGACATGTTTCAATAAACATTTATGAAAATAGGCAGCTGAATAAGCACATGAAAAGCTGTTCAATATTATAAGTCATTAAGAAAATGTAAATCAAAACCACAATAAGATGGTAATCTCTTACTCATTAGAAGGGCTAGAATCAAAAACAGAGAGTAACAAGTATTAATGACAATGTGGAGAAACTGGAACCCTCTTAGAATTCTTAGAACTTAGAATTACCATATGACTCAGCAATTCCACTTCTATTTGTATGCCCAAACAACTTGAAAATAGGGATTCAAACAGATACTTGTACG